GCATTTTTATTGCAGCTCGTCCCCATCCCTGTCCCTCCCAGCGCGGCGGACTCGTTTTCATTGGTGAGACCTCCCCTGCTGGTGGCCATGCCCCTGCGGGAAACGTTTCTGTATTTATATATGAAAAAAAACTCCCAGAAAAGAAACAAACAAACAACGATGACAAAAAAAGAGTTCAGAGCTTGGGGGGAAGCTTCCTTCATTAGTCAAGGTGTTTTGATATGGTATTAAAACAATGTTCAATAAAATATTCACTGTTATTTTATTTCACTGGCTTTCTTGGTGCAGCGCGCGCTGCCTGCTGGGGTGCAGGGCTCAGCGGTGCCTGGCACGGCCACGGCGGCTGCAGCTGCACGGTGCTAGGCGCGCTGCGGCTGTGGGCACCGCGGTCTGGAGCCCGAAGGTGACGGCAGAGGACACGGAGAGCAGGCGTTCAGCTTACTGGAGCGTTCCAAGGGCTGCGACCCACCAGGCCACAGCCACGGCGCCCGCCGGGGCCCGGCGGCCATGGGGCCCTGGGAGCAGGACGGGGCCGAGGCCCCGGGGCAGGCAGGCGCTCCGGCAGGGTCACAGCACCTTGCCGGGGTTCATGAGGTTCTTGGGGTCCAGAGTGGCCTTGATTTGGCGCATGGTGGCTAGGCCCTCCTCACCCACCTCCTCACGCAACAGCTCCCGCTTGCCCAGTCCTATGCCGTGCTCCCCAGTGCAGGTGCCACCCAGGGCCAGCGCCCGCCTGCAGGATGGTGGCATCAGTAGGGGCGGCGGGTGGCCCCACTGCGGCCCCCCCTGCCCCCGCACCCACCTGCCCAAGCGGTTGGTGAAGTCTTCGACGCGCTGGGTCTCATCCAGGTCCTCGGGGTTGAAGATGAGGATGCAGTGGAAATTCCCATCACCTACATGTCCCACCAAGGGCCCTGTGGGGACGCGGGCACATTTAGGGCTCGGCATGATCCCTAGTGCCTGGGAAAGACGGGTGCTTATGGCCTACCAGTGAGGCTGGACTCCTCCAGGTCCCTCTTGGCCTCTACCACGATGTCGGGGAGGCGGGAGATGGGCACGCA